CTCTGTATCTATGAAGCGCCTTGAGGCGACATTTGTTGTGATTTGGCGCTATATAAATAAAATTGAATTGAATTGAATTGAATTGAAATTGACCCAGGGAGCATTCAAATGGCAGAGTGCAACCAGCAGAAAGAACATACGTCTGCACAATCTCTACATGACTAAGAAGAGACTGATTCAGAAGAGTGTAGGAGCCGGGAACATTCGTGCTCACGCTATGGTTGTAAGGAGCTGCATGTTCCCATTAGCATTCTAGATTAGTTTGTTTTCTTGCAGAGGTGCTTTCCAGCACAGACTTTTGAAAGACGTGTAGAAAAACAATCTGTATTTCTGCTTTACTGGTACGAGCCCCTGAACAAACGCCAGCTTACCTTTCCGTGATGCTCCTTACACCACTCTGACATCCCTTCCAGTAGCTCGTCGGGCTGCTTAATGATCAAGTTTGGCCCCTGGAGAAAAACAACAGCTGCCTTGAACTTGTGTGACAGAGAGAAGAGCAGAGGCTCCAGTGTTCACGTTCACATTACCTCAGCCAGGATGTTCAGGTGTGAGTCTGTAATAAGGCAGGCCATTTCAATGATTTGGTCCTTTTCCACGTCCAGCCCTGTCATCTACACACACAGACGTAGTTGTCATTATAAACAGCACAGACAGATTGAGAACAGCAGCTCAAGTCTGCGCACCCGTGTGCCATGTTCCTGCGTGGACTGCCTACAGCTCGCTGGACACTTCACACAACTATTCCAGCATCCAGCGCTATACGCGCCATCTAGTTCCACAGCTTACCGTTACACTCACGGCTAAGCAAAGCGTTTAGTGATTGTAGCAATAACCACAGTTCCCACGACGTGACTCACCTCCAGGTCCACCCACACCATTCTCTGGGACATGCCCGTGGCTGTCATGCTGCCTCTTGTTGATGCCTGACCTGCGGCTGGTGCTAACAGCGGGCTTCCTGTCCGGCTAAGCGCTGCCTTTCCGAGAGACCGCGCGAACAGACTCTTGCTGAATGTAGCGAGCGCCCATGCCGAACTGCGCGAGCACACCGGCATGATGAGCCCACTTCCGGTCTTATTTGCCATAAGAAAACTTTTCAAACAGAGTCTTCAGCAACGAACTGCTGCATTACTGCCACCTGCTGG